AAGTTTTCCCAATATTAAATGCATCACTGTAATTACCTAATTAAATTAGTAAATATGAGAATCTTCTCCCACAACACAGATGACAGCTGTTCAGGTGTAAGGACTGTATGCATTACATAGACCGTCTTAGAAAAAAACATCATATATTATAATATTGTTAATCTTCAGCTGGAATTGGGACATGAGCATATATATATAACATTATTATTGAGGTGTGTGGGGATGTCTGAATGTCCAAATTCAGTTCATAAGAACAGACAGTCATTACCATATAGGAAACCTGTTAATACTGTAGAAAGTAAATAAGGAAGTGTTCTTATTCTGCAAGGTTCCTACACAAATCTCAACTTACCTCTGTCTTGTAATAGGGCCTGTTCTAAAAACCTCTTAAGATTCCAATTGACTCAACAGTTTTTGGATCTGGCCCTAAAGTAGTAAAACCTTTGTTGAATGTTTACACATAACCATTTAGTCAGTGCTGGCTTAAGAAAAGAAAAAGGAAATAAATTAAATGCATCTTCCAGTGACATAAGCCTCATGAAGAATTAACTAGGATAAGCACTTATTCTAGTTGGTGCACTGTCGATCTGAGCAATGCAGACAAAAATAATAATTAAAACATAGCTTCATGCTGAGATGAAACTTTCAAGGGTGTCTACTGTGTTAAGCTTACGACTTCTCTGGTTTTGTATTTGCAAGCATAATTATGTCCCAGAGGCAACAGGAGCTAGTGCTTGTCAGTCCCCATTTCCCCCTCCAATAGACGATTAATTTCTTTACACAGAAATCCAAAAGTTGATGCCAAAACAATAATAATAATGTAAACAAGTCTTTTATACTTTTAATCTGGAATCCATAATTTAATGGCATAGTTGTATAAATAATGAAAATACCACATCTACTTTAGACAAGGCTAAACTCAAGGTAACATTTAATGTAGTATTGATTGACTGTATCAACAAAATGACGGCAGACATCTATATGGATGATAGCAGTTAGGAAAATGCTACCAAATATATCAATACAGATTAAGTAGCGGTGGGATGGAGCAGACTTGATGGCTCAGAGTCCTGGTAATGGAATATGGAGCCTTTCACCTCCAGCACTCTGATTTGAGCCAGCCTAGGTCAGTCTGCATCTGAAAGTCATTACCATCAGATTGTTCTTCAGTGAAATGATCTTGTCTTAATGGCATGATGCCTGTGTCACAAAATGCATCATTTATCATGGCTAACACCATGTTGAGATTTTCAGCTGGGAGGCTGGACACAGTCATCTGGGGCTGCTCTGCTATGGGCTGTGCTGAAGAAGTTTAGGAACTTTAGTGCTCCTAAATACTAACCAAGCAAAGAGCAAGAGGAAGGTACCTGTGCTAAAGAAATTGCAACTGAAATGTAAGACAAGACATGAACTAACAGACAGAAATAGTAAACACGGGAGAAGCAAGATAGCAGTAGACTCAGCACACCAGAAGCACGAAGCTACAGTAGCTATCCTGCAGTACTTGTCTTTTGGATGGATTCGAGACCAAGTGTTACATGGGGAAACCAAAACAGGGTTTGTTAAAAGACATCAAAAGCAAACATGAAGAAAAAGGCAGTGGAAACCAGTACCCTAGGTTAGCCAGAGGCAAGAAGTAACATATTAAAGCTAAGTGAAAACAAAACAGGATAGGAATAAAGAATTTCAAAATGAAGGCAAAGTGCATACAGAACCGGTGCAGAGATGGGAGACGCTGAGTGATGCAAAGTGAGGAATGACGTGAACAAAGGGATGAGCTAAGGGGGTTACCTGTTTCAGCAGCAGTTGGGGTGGGATATGAGCAGACCAAGACTGTATCTGTTAAAGCCACCAGAAATGACGTTAGGAAGTGACGGGTACATAAGAGAGTTTTGGCATTGCAGTTGGCTGGGGAATATTGTACTTCATAGAAGTTTGGGAATAAGTTATTATCCAAAAGATTCAATGACTGCCTGAATAGCAGCCCAAATTAAATAGCTGTTTTATCTGCAACACTCAGGCTGCAGTTCTGGATGAGAGATGGGTTAAAACTCTTATTTATAGTGATGGCAAAATGAATGGAACAAGAATAATTAAGAAAATTCTTTCACGTCTTTGAGCTTAACCTGGTGGTTAGACGTACACAAGGAGGCATCAGGTGACACAGCAGACAAGTTGTTGCGTTTTGGGGAGTTATTCTTCTGTATGTTAATCTGTGTTGTCAACTTGGAACAAAGATGTAGAGCATCATTTTCCAGCCTTTTATCTACTTAACTCTAAAGCCCAGGGATTGTTTCTAGGAGCTCTGCAAAAGATAAATAAGAAAAGGAAGCCTATATTCAGCAGGCTTAATTCCAATTAAATTTTTTTTTTCACAAATTGTAAAGTTGAATACCAGTGCATAGAAGAAGAGCAAAAAGGGACAGAATCTTGTCAAATTGTCAGCATAAGTTGCAGATCCCGTGAAGAAACGAAAAACAGGACAAAACCAGGAAAAAGCAGTCACTGAAAACAAAGGCTGATACGTTCTCTTGGGAATTATGTGAGCTAAAACCACGTTAGTTTAAGAAAAACACTTTTGGATTTTTAAATTCATCTGCTCAAGGGATACGGCACCAAATTGATGGATGTGACAAAATCAATAAAATATTCCTGATTATGTACATTTCAATTATAGTTACATATTTAGTAATCATATCACTTGTGGATTCATACCCGTAACAGGCAGCTTATAAATATCCTATGACACATACACTCCCATACTGCTTCTTACCCTACAAAACACAGCAAGCTGGTCAGTAGTACTTTCTATCATATAAATGTCAACCACCCTTCTGACGATTCCACCAGTATGCATGCCTTCTCTGCAGAAGAAACCTCACAATGGGAAACACATATTTTTCCCACAAAGCGAGGATGAGGAATGAGTGAAAATTTCTCAGTGGTTGTAGAGCTCCTTTTCATGAAGTTGTAATTCCTTATGACTTCTTTATGGATTCGGCATGGAAGCTGCTGGGCATACACAAGCTTGTTACTTAAAGGAATAACTTGGTGATGAAAAGATTAGTGTAATTAAGTGAAATTAAGTGAAACTAAACTAAAACTAGGTGTATTTTGCTTCAAAGACTCACAAACCTCAGCAGTGGTTCAGATAACACAATATCATGTAGCCATGTGATTCTGATATTCATTCATGTTTATTTATTGTGGTTGTGATTACACAGTCAAAAATCATGCGTAGCAGCTATTTGAATGATTCCTGGTTTGCACATAACACTATATTCAAACGTCTATGAGCATAATCATGACTTGGTTTTAACTGAATCATATTAAAACAATCAAGGACGTGGCTTAGCACTAGGAGTACGAATGAAATAAAATACTGTTGAAAATTCTGAACATGTAGAAGCTAGAAACACCAGAGGTGGAGCCCACACTGGATACGACAACCCCTGTCCCACACAGGACAAGGTACCCTGGATACCTGAGGCTGTGTCCAGTGAGCTGCCATGTTCAAAGCAGCTAAATAACCTTAGTGTGAGATTTATTGGCAGAAAAGGTACAAAAAAACCCTTTGTGTCTCATCACTCAGGATCAGGACAGGATGTATTCCTAAGCAAGCTGTTTCATTTCAGCCATCCATTAAGCTTGCTAGAGAAACAACTAGAGAAAACTGCAGTCTGGTATGCACGCCACACAGAAAACTCTGATTAATCAACTCTTCTGTAGGCACATTCTCCACTCTGTATGCGTGTCACCTAGAGAGACAGGAAAGTTCAGCTGGGTATGGGTTTCACTTCCGAAGCTGCAGAGGTAAACAAATGCAAATATTTTTTTGTGTATCTTTCCTAACAACAGAGTGTGAAACTTGGTTATTGACTGCTATTTTGCGGGAAGCAAAGCATGTGTTTGCAATACTTATCAGTAAACTGCTACAGGAATCGGTGGCTTACTTCTTGCAAGGAAGTAAATGGATTATCTGTTGCAAAGGACCTAGCATCACCTCAAGGTGGTGAAAAATTACCTGGCAGGCTTAATAATTTCCCATATGATACTTTTTTAGGACCTTAAATATTCAGCTTAACCATATTCTGGGCTGCATCAAAAGCAGTGTGATCATGCCCATCTGCTCTCATAAGACACCCATTTGGAATATTGTGTACAGTTCTAGTATCCTCAACACAAGAAGGACATGGAACTGTTGGAGAAAGTCCAGAGGAGGGCCACAAGGATGATCAGGGGACTGGAGCAACTCCCGTGTGAAGACAGGCTGAGAAAGTTGGGGCTGTCCAGCCTGGAGAAGAGAAGGCTGCGTAGGGACCCCATAGCAGCCTTCCAGTATCTGAAGGGGGCCTACAGTGATGCTGAAGAGGAAGTCTTCAGCAGCGACTGTAGCAACAGGACAAGGGACAATGGGTTCAAACAGGGGAGATTCAGGTTAGATATAAGGAAGAAGTTCTTTACTGTGAAGATGGTGAGGCACAGAACAGGCTGCCCAAGGAATCTGTGGCTACCCCATCCCTGGCAGTGTTCAAGGCCAGTCTGGACAGGGCCCTGATCAATCTGGCCTAGTGAAAGGTTTCCCTGCCCATGGCAGGGGGGTTGGAACTAGATGATCTTAAGGTCCTTTCCAACCCAAACCTTTCAAGTCAATGATTCTATGAAGTTCCTACTGAATAGGGCTTGTGATAGTGATGATGTGAAGGTGACTAATTGCTTTTCATCCCACATGTCTGGAACACCAATTCTAATACATGTGGGAAAAGAGCGGTAAAAACTGAGAAGATGGTGTGAAGGGGGGATGCTAAAATACTCCACCGCTGAACTTCCAGCCCCCATCGAAGCATCTCTCCCGGGACACCGAGCGAGACAGATGGGTGCGAGGCCTCCTGCCGGCAGGCCCTGCGACCTCGAGGCCGCTGCCGCCCTAGGACCTTCCTCGACCCACCTGCGGCCGTAGTCGCTGGGCCCAGTGCCCCAGCCCCCTGCAGCTCGTGCCTGGCAGGGCGGGCGGGGCCGGGAGGCGGGGACGCTCGGGCGGGAGGCGGTGGCAGCCCCGCCAGCACAGGAAGTCGCCCAGCCGCGAGAGGAGGCAGGAGGCGGAGCTGTACCGCTCGGCCCGAGGTACCGCGCGCTTCCCGGGGTGGGCAAGGGGCCGCGGGCGCCACGGCCGGCCGCACCGCCGGGTATGCGGTTGTCACGGCAACCGCTTCCGCTCCCCCCCCCCCCCCGGGGCGGCGGGGGAGCGCTACCCGCCACTGCTCCGGCGCCGCCATTGGCTTGCGGACAGGGAGCGGCCAGCGCGCGCGGCCGACCCGCTGTCCGCGCGGGCCGCCACTACCATTGGCCGGCAGGAAGCGCTCGCCTCCGCGATTGGTCGGAGCACGCTGCCAATCGGGGCGGCGCTGCGGGCGCCCGGGTGCCGCCCTCGGATTGCGGGCTGAGGGGCCGGGAGGGGTCAGCGGCCGCGGCTGGCGCGGCCATGTTGGGTGTGGGCCGGTGGAGTCCCCTCCCCTCTTCCCCGGCGGCGTGTGCCGTGCCCGGGAGGCGGGAATGGGCGGCTCGCCTCGCGGCCGGGGTTGGTGCCACGGCCTTACGTAGCTCCGGGCGCTCCTCAGCCGTTTGGTCAGCCTCCAGCGCGCGAGCAGGTGGTGCTAGGGTGGGTCCCTTCGCAGGGTGTGATTGGCCAATTTGGAGGGAAATAAACCCCTCAGCAGGAGGTGTCCCGTGTGAGAGCTGTGGTCGAGGCCTGTTGGGCTGGCTGCGCTGACAAGAGCCTGCGGTGCTTCTCTGTGGGGCCAGCCTGTGGCTTTCACTCGTGAGCTCAACTCTCCACGTTTACTGCCTGCCAGTGCAGTGTGGTTGGGTGTGGGTGTATGCGTGTGTGTGTGTGTGTGTGTGTATATGTATATATGTATATATGAATGAATGAAGCCCATTTGTGTGGGGTTCCTCTGTGTCTAGGAGCTGGACTAGCAGCTGCTCTCGGTGTAGCTGCATACTCATTGGCTGGCCACCCTAATGGAGTGAGGCCAGGGCGTGTTGGAGATACCACATGTGCAGTGTGTGACGGCTGTGGGTATGCAGTAAATCTGATGCAACCTGGGCTTTTTGAGCTGGCTGTGTTCACCTTTCAGGTGTGATGTGTGCCTGGTACATTGGACTTATTCGTGTTTTGTGCAGAGTGTACTGGTCATGCTTATGTTCAGAAAATCCTGGATAGAGACACTGGAGCCACAACTTCTAAATGTGAAATGTTGGCAGAAATGTCTGCTAACGTGGATTTGTGTGGCTCTCAAAGTGCTCTGCCTTACATCAGCCTACATAGTTAGGAGAGCAGAGCACAGTACCAGAAAGACCCTGTAAAAGCGTGTGGTATAATTGGGCTGTATGCAGAGCACACACATTCACACACAGTAATTCAGTTACATATAACACAGGGCTTGAGTTCTTTGCTTTTGGGTACCAGGCTTGTGCCTAAAGAGCTAATCAGAATGGAAGGGTGCCTGTTTCTAAAGACATGTTGACTCTTCCAGCCTTTGCTACTGACGTATAATTTCCGTAGTGGAAAACTGTAGAAAGTCGGTTTAAGGAATACACAGAAATGTAGAAGTATGGGGAAAATCGATCAATTTCTTAAGCAGTGCTGTTTGGCATGTCTTCCTTGGCTGAATCACTTCACCTCTTGGTACAAAATGGGTTAGGGACAGCCACTGTTGTTCAGAAAATAGTTTGTCTGCTCACTGAGGAAAAATTTAGCAGCTGTTTCTGTTGGCATGGTTATCTTTGATCATGAATTAGTGCTGTCTACCCTTCTAGGACTTGATATCTGTCTTCATGGAAGCTGTGAAGATGTAAGCCTACTTCAGGTCAGTAGTGTAAGCGTAAGCATAGTGAAAACAGACAAGTGTTAACTTGGAAATAAATTTATCACACCAGTACAAATAGTTGCCTTTTTTTTCTTTCCCCAGAAAGGGCAGTTGCTCACATTTTCTGTTATTTTTGCTTCAGTATGTAATTTCTTTTGTAATTTATAACTTATAATTCTGTAACATATGTATAGTCTTCTCGCTGAGCCTGTTTGAGTAGGTTTTAACCCAACAGATGACCTCAAGAGGTCCCTTCCAACACTATCAGTCCTGTCATTTTGCGACTTGGATTTGTTAATTTAACCATGTAGAGATTACAGTAATGTTTTACAACTGACTTTGTCTAAAATAGTATTTTGTGCCTGCAAAAGCAGTACAGAAGATACTCAGTTTCAGCACAGATGTGACAGCTCTTCAAATATCTAGGTTTTGAAAAATCATTTAAAATCAAGTGATTAAACCAGATTTCTGTTAGCACTGGCAAAACTCCTCTTATAATTTACTTTGATTCTTGTATCCATAAAAACAGGACTATCCCTTCTATTTCAGATGCAAGCAGCTGAGTTCCTGAATTCAATTACTACATCACCTTGAGTGAACAGGATTATTGTCCATAAAAACAGACTTCAGCAAAAGGTAATATGCGACAAGATATGTACTTATCACTATAAATATCAAGAATAAAGGCAGTGTGTTTGTTGGGGTGTTTTTTTTTTAATTTACTACTATTTTATTTTCATAACTTTGAACTATATAAAGGTTGCATGCATTGGAAGATTCCACGTGACTTCTGCCAATTCCCCTGACTTCATAGCTCTTGCTGTCACTTCATGCAGCCGCTTCAGGAAAGGAAGCCAATTTGCATGCCAGTTTTCTACCAGGTACTGGAAAATCTTGTAACTCATAGAACTAGGAATGTAAACTGATAAATTAACCTGTGGTGCTGTCCAGTGTATATCTAGGATTTTATTCAAATACTTAAGCCTAACCTTGTAGCCCAGTCTTCAAGGATGACTTAAACTCAGTGTACTTCATGGAAGCAGGAAACATAAAATTTTAGTGGAGTCTACATAGAAAATTATATGAGGGTTTTGGTTTGTGTGTTTCTGTTTGGTGGGGGTTTTGTTGTTGTTGCTTTTTCATTTTTTGCTTTTTGTAGGTTATTTTTTTCCTTTTTTTTTGAGTGTTTTTTCAGTGCAGTGAAGACATTTTCCTTGGATTTATTGTGAAATTTGTTTCTTGAGACCAGTAATTAGTTTTTGTTTCTTGCATAGTTTTAAAAATCTTTCAAAAGAAGCTGAATACCATCAAAATTAGTTACAGTTTGTTGCAGTTGGAATGTTAAGAGTTTCTGTGGGATTTTTTCTCACAACTAGAAAGTTCCTTGTTTTGTTTTCCTTTGGGATATTTCCATATTAATCTAGATTTTTCATTAGGGAAGACAAGCTGTGAATTACAAAAAAGTAGGATAATTTGGAAAGTCTTTATGTGTTGCTAAAGGCTAATGTTATAAAACTGGGATGTTATGTTAAAAAAAAAAACAAACAGAAAAGAACCCTCTGAAACCCCAAGTTTAGTATTATCTTGGAGACTGAAGTTGCTCTATTAGGTAGTGTGCTTCATAAGTAAATTGTTATGTTTCCATGTTATGAGTTAGGTAAAGATTAGAATGGAACATAGATGGTTGTAAGGTATAGACAAAGAAGCTAACAATTTCTGTTTACGGTTGAAGTCTCACTCAATGCTCTGACTCCCTTATGATACTACTGTTGTAATACGGTTACTCCCGGAAAACAAGACTGCAAAAGTCCTCTGACACAAACTCTGCTTTAAGATTTCTGCTCCTGTAGATTTTTTCATTTGCTTGCAGGTTTACTTTTTATTGAAGAAAAAAAAAGTGAAGTGATTATATACTAGCTGATCATTTTTTAAACTAAAAAATGAAGTGCTTTTCAGTGAATGGCTATCCTCATTTCAAATGAAGTCTGCAATGATTAAATATTAAAATGATGGATGGTTTAAATTAATATAAAAACTTTTCAGGAGATTATTACAAAGATTAACATTTTAAATGTTTTAGTACTTCCATAGTTTATCAATCACAGGCACAGTGAAACTGTTTTTAGTTACCAAGCTGATGAGCTCATACATCATTGCAGCATTATGTGCAACATAAACATCATGGTGATGTTGGTAGAGATGAAAAAATCAATGTATGCTGTGGCTCTTTAATAACCTGTTTTTGTCTTGAAGTATTTTGTGACACACAGAATAAGAGTATTTTTTCTTTGGAAAGATGATGGGAAGGAAAGAGCGTTGCTGAAAACCTGGTGTTTTCCATTTAGGAAGGAGCTCTGTTTCATGTCGTGACAAACTCAGATAGTCACACAGAAGAAGAAAAAGCACTTGCATTAATGCAGTTTTAACATCCCCAGATTGTCAGCAGCAGCCTTAGGATTCCTGATACATTTTTATTCATCAGAATTACGTTTGAAGGTCATGGGAAAATGTCAAGGCACCCCAGGTGCTTTTGTATCACTAGCTGTGCATAGATACCCCTCTGATTCAGTGGCTTGAGTAAACACTTACTCCAGGCATTCTTGACATGGACAGTGCTAATCCCTTTTTTCCCCATTTCTTCTGCATATTTTTTTTGCAGCAAGGGCAAACATTTTTAAGTTTGATTTTGCCTCTGTAACCACATATTGTAATGATACAATGGAGGGGTTTATACAATGCAGTTTATTGTGTCCCAGAACTTTTTGTAGTGTTAAATATGATAATTGATACATCAACAAAATACTGTTTATTCATATTCATGTGCTGTGATTGGTTTTGGCATTATTTTTCATCCAACGTGTTTTATGATCAAAACCAAGATGGAACTGGAAAGACATGGTATAATGAATTAGTCAGCATAAGCCCAATACCAAGTGTAAAGAAGGATGGGAGGGTGACACAGAAATCCAGGAATAGTTGCTGAGCTGTTAAAGTGAATAAATGGAGAAAGACTGTTACAAAAGCAGAAGCTTATGGTGGAAAAGTCATGCCAGAAAGGCCAGGTGTGAGAGAGGGCAAAAGCAAAGGTTAATTTAGGTTAATGTTGAGAATGGTATTGGGAAGTTAAAATCCAGAGGGCAGAGGGAAGCACGCCATTTTGCACACAAGTTTGTTGTCACTTACTAATGCTGTTATTTCTCTTCTTAAGTAAGACAAAAAAATAAAAGATGGGGTTGCATTGCCTGTAGTTGGTTGCCTCTAGCCAGAAAGCCAAATGTATCCTCATGAATTTCCATTGAAATAAAATAAAGTAATGGAACAAAATAACCTTTTATGTTATGAACTGTTTTTTATAGTGGGGAAACAGATTGGGTTGGAAATGTAGTAGATCTCAAAGTTTCAATTGTTTTCTCTCCGGCTGTGCTGTACGGTGTAAATGAAGAAAAGGTTAAGTTTACCCGTGATAATTCCCTCTCACATTTACATTATCAATCAGCCTTTGTAGCTTTTTGTGCTTTTATCTGTTGTGTTTTCATTGTAATCTTTACATACAAAGTTCTCAATTCTACAAACTCTTACTCAAATTTATGCACGAATGCCCCTGACAGATGTGCTCTGGAAGCCTTAGATGCTGCGGTTTAAGATGCTGCCAGCTGGTCGCTTTTCCCCCACCCCTCAGATTGCAGGCTGTACAGAAGACCCAGCAATACCTGCACCCTCAGTTTGCCTCCATCACCTTAACTGACACCTCTTTTTGGGTGTCTTGCGCTATGCGTAGTCTGGGAATGGGGTCATGGGAGCAGAATGTACCCCTTCTTCTTGCCCTTTTTTACAGGCTGCTCACCCTGGCAGGGAGGTGATTACTTGGGGTCAGCAACATCTTAAAGCTTCTCAGATACTAAAAGCTTATTTATAAGTCTCCTATGTTTTCAAGCTGAACATGTTTTAAAAATTCTATTACCTATGTGTTCAACTTACACTGTACTAAGTCATTATGGATAACATTTCAGCACTTGGCTTTACCCTGTCACCATCTGAACTGAAACTCTCACCTTGAGGTTTTGTCTTTTAAAAGTGATCATGCCTAAAAGCTCATACTGAAAATCATAATATTTCTTTCATGTAACGTGTAAGCTATAGAAATTGTCCTGTAGGCGGTTTTAGTGTTGCACTCATGTGGGGAGGTAATTACGCTGCCTTCACTTAAGATTACATCACTTACTTTACTGCTAGACCAGTTTTGTATTACTTAAGTTCTTGCCAAAAGGAAACAGTTAACCTGAAGCAGTGTATTACTTGTTTTGTTTTTGTGTCTCAGCTGTCAGACTGAAGGTACACTCTATGTATGGCTAACTCTTAAATTTGATTAGGTCCTTGATTTACTGTTACTCAACTAAAATTAATTTAAAAATTAGGACTGTACAGTAACAATAAAATGCATAAAGACCTGGTGAGCTGCCAGCACTCAGAAGTAATGGCTCGAGGCCACTGTCAACGGATGTGAGCTTGTGGAGACTTTCCTCAGTGTTTGTGTCAGGTGTGATGCTTTTTGCTATTTTAGTCAGTTGTGTCTAAATGTAAAAGCAGTAATGGCAAACAGTAGATGGTTCAGTGATTGCTAGGTTGATGAAGAAAGGATGAAATTAAAAGCATGGCTGGGATCATGGTATTATGAGTCTGTTAAAATGCAATGTGCCTGCATGTGTTGAGGAAGAAGGAATGCTGCATGTACCTGCAGAATGTAAGATCTTTTATCTTCTAAATCTGTGACTGTGGGAGGGCTTGGGGTTTGTGAGGAAGCTCCTGCAGCCATAGGGAATTCAAGTGCAGGGCTGTTCAAGAAGGGCTGGTGCTGCCTATTAGAGATGGGGGAGAGGTAAGAGAGTGCTTTGAAATGGCTTAGTAAGACCAGTGCTGGAATGTTGCCTCTAGTTCTGTTTCCATGAAAAACATGCTCTGAAAAATTTGAAGGCATGATGAACTCCTGGAAGAGGCAGATGGACTTTTGTTAATGATACTGCCTTTCATGTGTGCTGTGATATTTCTGATGACACATTTACCTTAACCTCACTGGACAGGTTCTATTTGCTACCCGTCCCAACTGTCTGCTGCAGAGGCCCTCCTGCATAGTGTGGAATGCCATAGGCAAGGCTGTGCTGAGTGAACTTGTCATTTATTCCTGTTACAGAGGGTGTGGAAAGCACTTTTTCTTTTGTTGTATATATGCATCATGGGAAGCTGTCTATAAGTTCGTCAGCTTTAGATTTTGGTGTGATTATGATTTTTAAATGCAAACACAAAGAATTGCAGCATCATTCGGTGTTTGGTTTTTTGTTTTTTTTTGCAGTTGTAAAATGGTCAGAGCAAGGATGGATGTTGCTTCCTTTAAATTTTTCCATAATCTGGACTGAAGAGGTTAACAAAGAATTCCTAGATTGCTGTTTACTTCTTTGTTCTGAAAGGCAGGATAATTTGAAAGTCTGGATGGTTTTGATATCTTTTTGGGTATAGAGAAAGCATCAGACCATCAAGTTAAATAGGAAGAGGCTACTCTGGAAAACTGATTATTGTAGAGTCAAACCTGTTAAAAAAGTTTCAAACAGTTTTCATTTTAAGTACACCAGTGGGGTTAAATA